TGCTTCCGGAGCTTGCATTCAGATGAAGCCTCGATCAAGGTTCTGGAAAACAACACGGTGGCAGTAGACGACCACAGTAAGGCAGTAGCGCTCGAGAATTACTTTACTACTGTTCATAGGTTAGACAACCGGACATAAGAACCTAGATCCCCGACCTCTCTTCCACCGAGCATAAGATAGATGCAGATATCTGCAGTGGAGGTGCAAAACGTCTTAGGGGAGTTGGACATCAATAAGGCCCCGGTTCTCGATAGCATATTCCCTGCCATTGTGAAACCCCCTGCCCGAATCTCAACAGATCCTTTACTGTTTCAAAAGTCTCTGGAGGAGGGGTTGCTTCCAGGTGACTGGAAAACTCCAGTGGTGATGGCGTTACACAAAAATGATAGTAGAACTAACCCACAGCACTACAGACCGGTTAGTTCAACTAGTATTCTATGCAATTACATGGAAAATCTAAGCAGGACGCATGTCTGTACCCACGTCTTAGATTGTGCATTGCTTAGCGAGGCTGAGCATGGCTTTATGAAAAACAGGTAGTGCCTGACTAAACTCTTATGCTACCTAGACGAAGTCACTGACAGGGTAGACGAAGGCAGAACAATAGAGGTATGTTACCTGGAGTTCAGTAAGGCATTCGATTCAGTAAGTCATAGATTGCTTCTACGTAAGTTTTTTCGGAATCACAGGAACAGTATATAAATGGATGGCAGCATTTTTGACAAATAGGATATTCTGCGTTAGGGTAGGAGAACAAACGTCACTAGTCTTGCAGGTCACTAGTTGCGTGTCACAAGGTTCGGTGTTAGGCCCGCTTCCATTAATGTTGTTCATAAATAATCTAGCAGAACTTACCAGCTCACCTTGCTTCATCTTCGCTGATGATGAGAGGGTGGTTGGATCCAGTGGAAGATCAGACTTAGATGATATTGCAAGGGTGATAAAGTGGTCCCACACATGGGATCTGCCACTAAATACAACAAAAAGTCAATTACTCTCTAGAAATAGGGAACCGTTGAAGGCTCTAGGCGATTGGGGGCAATTCGAAGTGGGCGCTGTAACCAGTGCCAGGGATCTAGGAGTCATCGTAACTACAGATTACAGTTGGGGTACCCAATGTGAAGCTACAGTACACATGGCTAGACGACAGCTGTTTCGACTAAGGTCAGCAGTTTCGCGTAAGAAAGCGGACGTATTTATACCCATATAAAAAGCCATCGTAAGGCCTCAACTAGAATACTGTGTTCAGGCTTGGACGCCCCTTTACAAAAAGGACGCAGCCTGTCCGGAGAAGATCAAGCGACTAGCAAATTGGATGGTTCAGTGTATGCGAGGAAAAACATACAAAGAGAGGTTATACGCGTTCGGTCTTTTTTAATTAGAAAAGAGTAGATTGCGCGGAGACATCATCGAAATATTTAAGATTAAGAAGAATTTGCTGGGTTTAGATTCGGGCTCCCTCTTCACTGAGGCTCCCCACCGAGGAACGCGTGGTCATGAGCCCCAACTTATGAAACAGCGTTTTGAGCTGAACCTACGAGCGCATTTCTTTAGCAATAGGATAGTGGATATTTGGAATAAACTACCGTCTGAGCTGATCAAGCAGCCAAACGTCCAAGCCCTTAAAAGAGCTCTGGACGCCAGATGATTGGAGGCTTTCTTTGACATAGAATATTTGCTTACTTACTTGACTGTAGCTGGCTCATTGGAAAGGATAAGCCGACTCTAGACATGGTCAGGATGTTCCTTGGGAGTTTGGTACAAGAGAATTCCCCAGTGTCACCCAGCGTTTTTTATTT